TTTTTTTTTGCCCCAGGCCCACGAGACTCGCACACTGATGCACCCTCGCACTCACACACACAGCGAGCGGTGATGAACGGATGTACGTTCCCGTACATCCAAATGCAAATGCTTCTGCAGCGTCGCTTTTGTTGTATACTTTAGCGCAGCGTCCTCTTTGGCGCCCTTCGCAGGGGTTGTCGTAAGGGAGGGGTGGGGGCGCTGGCAAAATGGGATGCACTTACTCATAGTCGCGGAAAATGCGCTTGGTGATGTAGCAGCAGAAGACCTGGTCGTTGTCGTGGAATGTTTCGTTTTTGCCCTCCTTCTGATTCAGGTCGAATCCATCCCGCTTGCAGATGGGCATGTTTGCTGTTCTTGTGTTCCCGAATGTCCCGATTTCCAACTTTTCAATGACAATCCTTGGGAACGCACGCCAAGCACTCCCGAAACCACAAAGCGCTTCAGAACCGATAGATTTCGCAACGCCAAGCGACAAACGCAAAAGGCGCCTTTTCACGCCTCTTCGGAGGGGCTTCGATGCAAACTGTTTTTTAGCGTCACGCGCGTTGCGATCCGTCGCAATTTCACAAGCTGTCGGCCGACGAAACTGTTCCGGCACTTTCCACTGTGTTTTTGACTGGCTTCACCGACATTAGCTCTTCGAATCTGTTTATTTTCCAGCGCACCAACTATTTTCACGCGCCTTGCGAATTTTTACCGTAAAATGTTACCGTACTTCGCGGAAATGCCAACGACGCGGTCGGGAGGAAACCGATAGCCCGATAAGCCGATAGTAGGGTCGATTTAAGTAACGTTCTTCTTCGGAAAGGATCTTTGAAAAAAGAATTATTTAACGAGCTTATATTATTAAAAATGGATTCCCTTGTATAAGACAATTTTTAATATGCCTATGCGTAAAATGACTGTGCCATAGAACTCTTTTACATATATTTTAAATTTACCAGTTTAAATTAGGTAATTTGAAAATTTTATGAGGTCGAACCACCTAAATAAATGTGTTTTACTTTTGTCGACGGTCGAACATTGTAATCGATAGGTAGACTAAGTATTGTAAGAGAAATCTAGTAATTGTTAATTTATCCGATCTCGTATGGATTTCTTGGCCCTTCAAGTGCGGGCCTACTAATATCGGTTTAATGGATGCCGCCATAAATTGAGCTTGTTTTGGTCCGAATTTTTGCTGCTGAATTTTTGAATTGGAGAATGATTTTTTTGATGAGCCGAATTTCGAGCAATTTTCGAGCAATAAGAAGTTCTTGGACTGATGACGAAGCACACGGCGGAAGCGCGAATGGATGGAGGACCTGCTGGATGGAGCAGGAGGAGCTTGGGAACAGGCGGAGACAGGCAGCAACTGGGACTTTTGTCGACACATTCTCAGACACCCAGAAGGGCCTCCCGGAGATCCTACAAACCCAGCGAAACCAGTGCTCCTGATTGCCAATAAAATTGATTGAGGACAACGGCCGACCTGAATGGGGAAATGGAAGACATATTCAGTGTACCCATGCTACAAAACACACAGCTCTTCGTGGACGCGGTGACCTTCCTTTAAAGTTCCCAGGACCAGGACACCGGAGAAGATGCTGCCATCCGTTAAAGACGAGTCCATGTCGTTTATTTCGAAATCTGTGATAGGGCATAGTGCATTCTTGATCCCGAAAATTAATGCCCAGGGCACACTGCGGTAAGATTAAGTTAGTTTGAAATGTATGAGGCTGATTTAACAGAATAAAACGATCGCCCCGAGCGACTGCCACGAGCGCCACCAGGCGCACGCCGCCCTTAAAGTTCACCCTCTCTTCGGACCTACGCGTGTGGGGTAGTCGTTAACAAGGCAACTCCATATGATGCAAGACAATCATACAAATATCATAAAAACTCGAAATTTTAGAAATCGGGTATATTAATTTTGTAGTTGTTTTCAAATTTCCCACACGTGAAATTCCCATCTCTAATACCAAGTTTGTGTGTGTGATTCCAGCTGTGATAAGAGACGATCGTTTGCGGGCCTGCTGCCATAAACTATATTTTTTATAGTTTTTAGCATTTAAACACAGTTAGAATGTATGCGAGACTACTGCGCAACTTGGGCGCCAGTGCCAGGTAAGAACATAGATCGGCACCTCGAATCTCCTGGAATCAACAGGCGCATTCCAACCCACGAACTGTTACATAAACCTTGCAAATTTGTTTTTGTTTTCCCGCAGGTGCTTCGCCACAGAAGCCAATCCAAAGGTGCGGCCCATCAACAAGATCGTGATATCGAATCGTGGCGAGATCGCCTGCCGGGTGATCCGGACCGCACGGAAGCTGGGAGTTCGTACGGTAGCGGTGTTCTCTGATCCCGACGAGAAGAGCCTGCACACGCAGCTGGCGGACGAGGCTTACCGCGTCGGAGAGGCCGCATCCTCGGCTTCATATCTCCGGGGATCACACATCCTTGACATTGCAAAGCGATCGGGCGCCCAGGCCATTCACCCAGGCTACGGCTTTTTGTCCGAATCCGTGGAATTTGCCGAGCTGTGCCAGCGAGAGGGCGTCATCTTCATGGGCCCTCCCAGCTCCGCCATCCGCGACATGGGCATCAAGAGCACCAGCAAGGCCATAATGGCCGCTGCCGGAGTGCCAATCATAAATGGCTACCATGGCGAGGATCAGTCGGATGAGTGCCTGCAGCGGGAGGCCAAGGTCATTGGCTTTCCCCTGATGATCAAGGCCGTGCGTGGCGGCGGAGGCAAAGGCATGAGGATTGCCGAGAAGGCGGAGGACTTCCTCCCCGCTCTTAACTCTGCGCGCAACGAGTCGCAGAAATCTTTTGGCGACAGCTCTGTGCTGCTGGAGCGCTACGTCCGCTCGCCTCGCCACGTGGAGGTTCAGGTCTTTGCGGATCAGTACGGCGATGCTGTCTACCTGTGGGAGCGCGATTGCTCCGTGCAGCGACGTCACCAGAAGATCATTGAGGAGGCACCAGCTGTAAGGGCACCGTAGCATTAGTAGATTTCGTTAATTTACGTAAATGTTTATTCCCCAGCCGGGTTTGTCCGAGGAACTGCGTCGTGAGCTGGGCGAGGCCGCGGTACGAGCTACCAAGGCTGTGGGTTACGTTGGAGCTGGCACAGTGGAGTTTATTCTAGACAAAGAGGACCTCTCCTTCCACTTCATGGAGATGAACACCCGTCTGCAGGTGGAGCATCCAATTTCGGAAATGATCACGGGCACCGACTTGGTTGAGTGGCAGATTCGTATTGCCGCCGGCGAGCCTTTGCCGCTGAAGCAGTCTGAGATTACCCGGCGAGGCCACGCCTTCGAGGCCCGCATCTATGCTGAAAATCCACGCGGTGGCTTCCTGCCCGGAGCAGGACCTCTGCGATATTTGTCCACTCCTCAGCCATCCGCCGATGTGCGTGTGGAGACGGGTGTCCGCGAAGGAGATGAGGTGTCTGTGCACTACGACCCCATGATTGCCAAGCTTGTCGTTTGGGGCGAAAACCGCACGCAGGCGCTGAACTCCTTGGTTGCTCGTCTAGGAGAGTATCATGTGAGTATAAGGAAAATTCGCTCTCCCGTGGGGGTTTCTCTAATGTTACGCTGATTCTAGATCTCTGGTCTGGACACGAACATCAACTTCCTCATCGACCTAGCCTCGCATCCGGAGTTCCAGCTGGCCAACGTGCACACCGGCTTTATCGATGAACACTTTGATACGCTCTTCCCGCCAATTGTTATTAGTCCGCAGCAAGTAAGCCAAGCTGCGTTGGCGCTGGTCTTTAATGAGTTGCAGGCAGCTTTTAGCAACGGCAACAAAGGGCAGGATCCTTTTGCCGCCACACCCAACGCTCGCCTTAACTACTCTTTAATCCGCACATACAGCTTGAAAGCTAATGAGAAAGGTGCATACAATTCCATCTTAAATCAAACATAACTAACCCGTTATCTTACAGTTTACTCTGTGGCTGTCAAGTTCGACGGCGAAGATGTGCAAATCCAGGTGGATGGTGGCGACTGGCAGGCGATCAAGGCCGAAAGAGTTGATGATGGCGGTCGTCTGAAGATCCGTGCCAACATCGATAGCAACATCACCACCTATAACGCCAATATTGATGGTCCCAGTGTCTGTTTGTTTTTGGAAGTATGTCCGGAGATTTCGTAACTGGAAATAGGTTTTGTATTGAATGGATTCCTTTTTGCAGAGTGGCAAGCTTGACTTTGAGCTGGTGCAGCCAAAGTTCTTGAGTGCTCAGTTCGATCAATCAGGACAAGGTGGCTCTCGCGTGGTGGCACCCATGCCAGGTGTTTTGGAAAAGGTTCTGGTGAAACCAGGAGACCAGGTCAAAAAGGGCGATAGCTTGGCCGTGCTGATTGGTATGTAGTTCTAATTTTAACTATACATTTAAAACACATTTCATTGTTTGACAGCCATGAAAATGGAGCACATTCTTAAAGCACCCAAGGATGCCACTATCAAGTCGATCGGAGGCGCCGAGGGCGACAATGTGGCCAAGGGAGCGGCTGTGATTACGTTCGTCGACGAGGAGGGGGCCAAGTAAAAGGACTTATTCCCCGTACCAGGGATTTTGTTGCATTTATTTACAAGTTAATATTCTAAATATTTTTATGACCCCTTTCGCTTCCAGGGATAACCAAGTGCATTTATTATCATAAGTAATCCATATAATGGAGTTTTGTTGTATTTTGTCCACGGCATTAAACGTCTTTAAACTGTTAACCAAGAATCTTTTAGCAGCCGAGTCAGATAGCCAAGGTGATGGTTTTAAAAAATTGTTTATTTGTTTTCGTTTTTGTTGAATTTTAATGGATGTATAAGATTTATTCAGTTTCTCGAACACACATTTCCTAAATGTGATACATCTTTATGAATACATAATTTAAAATTGAGTTCCGTACATAATTTTGCGGCTTATGAGTTTGACTTTGAGTTTGTTGCTGTCGGTGAACGGAAACGGAAACTGAGAGAAGGCAATGACATTGCGCAGTTTGCTTACATTTCGCTTTTATTTCGCAACTTAAAACATAATAATTTAATAAATGTTTAACAAATTTCACTTAATACAAAATACTAATCATTTAAAATATATATACTTAGTATAACCATAATCAAGTTTTCTTTATGCTCGTGTTGCTTTAGTCCATTCTGCTCTTGAGTTTATACTGTTCTGTTTGTTTTGATTTAGCATCCCATTAACTTGGATTATGCGGTTGAAATATGATTATGGAAACAGTTTCAGAGGCGAGTACTGAGTACTGAAGATGCAATTTGGTTTCTTGCCCTAATTCTTACTTTCAGCCGATTTGTTTCGATTAGTTTTCCCTAGTATCGTATCTATATGATTTCGTTTTGATTTTTTTGTTTTTTATTCGGTTAGTATTAGTTAATGTTGCTCGGCTTCAATACGTAATACATCATTTATATACTATATAAATACAATTATATGGTACTGTAAACGTGCAACTTAACGCTTCTTAGTAATTTATGAGTGTGTTTCTTTGTTTGCGTTCGTTTGTTGTGTATGTGTGGGTGTTCATTAAAGTTTCCTTTTCACTTTTTTTTATATGCGTTAAAAGGGATACAATTACAATAGGGGAACATTAAAAATATCCCTTTTAATGAATAATAAAAAGAGGGTGTATATGTGTATTTGTTAAGGTAATTATAAAGTTCGATAGCTACTAAACACCTCTGCTGGTACATACCATCCTCCTCGACTCGCATACAGACTGTCGATCTTTGACTCGCGTCGCATCAAGCATCGTTTCGTTAATATCTACGGATTCTGCTCTACTTCGCATATTAACCCATTAAGTCTCGTTTTCGACGGCGGGAACCCCACTAGTAAAACACCTGTCCACACCGTTCTCATTGTCAGGCTGCTTTTGGTTCACTTAACGCTATGGATGCTCATCATAAGTAGCTGCTCTTGTTAGGTTGCGATTACATTTTATTGCAAATAACTTTTCGTTTGTGGTTTCCTCTTCGTTTTAAATTAAGTTTTTCTCTATCCTCGTCGGGAGCTCACTCGTTCCGGTGCCCGACCCTGATCCTGTTCCCGTTGTGGTGGCTGCTGTTGTGGCAGGTGTTGAAGTGGCTGCCGTTGCCGTGGTTGTCGCTGGCGACGTTGTGACCTCCGTGGTGGCTGTCGTGGTCGCAGCCGTCGCGTCCTCCTCGTCCTTACTTTCCACCAGCTTTCTTATTATCACCCTGCGACACTTCTGCGAATGGCCAACGGAAAGGGTTGGATTAGTGGGGGTAGACTCAAAATAGCCAAGTGCTGTGGGTGCTACGGCAACATCTGCGTGCCTGCTAAGCAGTAATTGCAATCTTGCTTCGAGTGTTATCAATCTGGTCGTATCGAGGCTCATTTAAGGACTTGGCTTATATACACGATATTTATTTTTTCAATCTACATCAGTGATGCCGGTTTTAAAATATTTTTTAGAAGTGTGCATTTTTAGATTTGATTTTTTTATAACAACAACTTATGCAAATTATAATTGAAAACAGCTGTGTGTTATACCTTGTCATTGCATTACAAATAATTAGGTAAATAATAATGCAAAAACATTTCCAGCCTGTTCTCTTAAACTTAAATTAAAAACTTGTTAAATAAATTTTTAGTTAAGAACCGAGTGATATTGATATTGACTCGGGTTCTCAGAAATTTCACCTGATTTTCGAATATAAAACTGGCATCCCTGATATGTGCAGGACCCCTTTCATCAAGTGTGTGTGGATTGGTTGTTATGTGGGGTGGGTGTGCATGGTTTTGTGTGAGTGAGCAGAAGCTTGCAGTGGAAAGTAAAAGAAAGGCCAACGGGTAGACGGATCCGGGGATGGCAAATGCATCTCGGTTGTGCCGGGGCCGTGAGAACAAAAGTCATGAGCAAACACAAAGTAAGGCGGGCGCTGTGGGCTCAAACGAAACAACAACTCTAACTAACTTGGCGGCAAATCAAATCAAGCGGCTTGAGGAACTCTTGCTAATATCACCACGTAGTTGCTGCTGCTGCTGTTGTTGCTGCTGCTGTTGCTGGTGTGCTGCTGCTTCAGCTTGAGTTGCTGCTCCGACGGCAACTGGTGATGGTGGAACAGCACCGGGGGCAGCTTGCTTCCCTTGGAGCGACTTCGCAAGCCCTGCGTATGTGGTTACAATGCGGGTTCAACAAAGGAATAAACAACGAAACGCCGCAGGGGAATCGTGTAGGACAATATAAATATTTAGAGACGAGTTAAAAGAAATCAGGAAAGAAGGGTTATCTCCGGTGTCCGAAGTGAACCATTATTTACACAGAAACTAATGGCAAAAGTATCCGGTCTAACAAGTATTATTAAAGAATATATAACTGTTAAAAAATATAGTACTGAAAAACATTCGGACAGACATGTCTGGATCGACTGAAAAAGTTCTCTAGCTAAAGTAACCACGTGTTCAAGGAGACAGATAGATAGATACAGATTGGAATTGGAGTGTAAAATGTGTTTATTGTGTGTACTGGTTTGCTGGGGCTGCTTGGCAGACGTCTCGAAGGATCCCTCGGCTACGGACACACTTTTCAGAGGGGCAAATGCCCTAGATCTCGTCCGCCCTAGTTACCTTTTTGGCCGTTATCTCCATTTGGTCCAGGCTGTTTGTCAGACCGTTAATAGTCGTCTCGCCGGTGGTCTCCTGGGCACTACTCTCCGTCTCGCTGTTGGCCCCACTACCCGCCGTCGTCGTCGTGGCGGGCGTGGGCGCCGTGGTTCCGCTAGTTGTGCCACCACCAGTCGACGTGTAAGCGCCGAAGAGCTGACGCGAGAGCCGTGGAATGGCGTTGCTATCCACTCGTACTGGCCAGGCTCCCGTCGCCGGACTGCTGGTGGTGGGCGTCTTATTATCGGCTGGCTGCTCCGTGCCTCCGGTGGTGCCCTCCTGCGCTCCTCCCGGCTGAACCACCTGATCCGTCTTGTTCTCGTCTAGATTCGACTCCAAATCAGACTCGTTGTTCTCATCCTGTTCCTGGCAAGCGCGCACATTAGAAAAATATTTTCGTATATTTCAATGTAAGGTGGTACATACCGTTTTCTCGCTGACCTCATCCGGGCAGAGCTCGTAAGCCATGGTCCACGTATTCTTGGCGGACTGCGACCGCTCCAGCATGTAGCCGTTAGTGTTGTCATTGCTCTGCGCCGGGGGCGACCACGAGTACGAGTTGTACTGGCAGCCGATGCCCCGCTGCCGCTCCAACTCGTCCTGCAGCCACTCGACGGCAATGCTCCAGTGCCGGCTGATGGTCGGGTTTGTGTTGAGCATCTGCAGCGCAATCGGCGACTTGTGGAACAGCTGCGTCAGGCACTTGATTATCTGGTACGCCCTCTTCTGGTAGTGCGTCTTCGCCCGCTGTATCGTTTCCAGCAGGCCCTCGCGCTCCTCCGCCACTCCGTTGAGGGCATTGTGTATGCGGTGGTGCTGCCACGAGTCGTCGATCAGCAAGATGTTCAGCAGTAGATCAGTGTGGTGCCGCATGTCGTGGCAGTAGGCGAAGCCACACTGCCACAGCAGCTCGGTGAGCACAGCGCGAGAGAAATGTGGATTCTCCCAGCTGCAATATTGCAGCAGCTTAAGACCCTCGTCGCCCACGTTTGTGTCCTCGATCACCTTCTTGATGTAGCTAAAAAGGACAGCACAAATAGGCATTAAGATGAAGGCTTTTTTTTTATAAAACGCCTTGAACTTACCCCGTGCGGTTGAAGAGCAAGTCCATGCACTCAGTTGATAGCGGAGTCAGCTCATCGTGCGCCACCGTGGCATCCTTGAATGGATTGGGCAGTGGACGGGCGTTCTGGTTGGAGCTCTGACACTTTTCGCTCACATCGCTGCAGCGTATCAGGTGCGAAACCACTTGGTGAAGCTTACTGAACTCCGGATACTGATACTTTATGGCCGGACCGGGGCCGTCGTCCAAAGCGACCTGAATAAACTGCAGTGGCACATTGAGCTGCAAGCGATGACAATCGATTAGTTGGGAATCAATATGAATGCAAATAATGCTTACCCTTAGCAGCTGCTGCTTTTCCCGTGTTCCCAGTCCCACGTACATACTGAATAGGCTAAAGTAGTGGGGCAGGTGTTTGCCGTAGTCGGCTGCCTCGGACTTCAGGAGGCGCAGCACACTAATGAGCACCTGCTCGCAGAGGTTGGCGCCGTCGTAACCAGTCAGTGGTTCGTCGTTGATGGCGAAGTGGCAGAAAAACACCACCAGCTTAACAAAGACGGTGCGCACCTCCGGCGACGGAGCCATTAGGATGTACTCGCCCAAGCGCGACGGCGGCGAAAGGAGCGCATGGTTGGCGAACCACTTGCGAACCAGAGCCGAGGAACGTATGTGATGTGAGAGCGCGTCGTACCTGACAATCAACAACTATGTTATTCAGATACTTGTCAGAAACTCTCCTTCACCTACCAATCGATGACTGGGCCGCGTAGCGACTTCTTCGTGCGGAAGCCGGTGTGGAACAGGAACTGCGATGCCAGTTGCACCCCCAGCAGCGAAAGCTCCTCGGCAGCAGAAGTCTGATGGAAACATAAACATTGTTAGTAGGAAAAAAAGCATTCCAGCACAATACTGACGATCTTATCGCTCCGCGCAGAGGGTATATTGCAGCTGACCAGCTTTTTGATAAAGTTGAAAAACTCCACGGAGAAAATGCTACGGGAGTGCAGAAACCGAATGTTCTGGTGCCTGTGAGACGGGCAAAGCAAGGATATGAAGTACATTCAGAGTGATTGAGCATAAACTCCACTCACCGCACGCTGCGCTCGATGGGCTTCGGCAGGGGCAGAACCATGTTGCGGCTCTCAGTGAGTGATAACTGCTCCACACTGGGTTCATACTGCACGGGACTCTGGTCGCAGCGGGTGTAGAACAACATGTAGGCATTCCACCACCGCTTCTGTCGGCGATACTGCATGCGCTTAAGGTTGTTGTCGTAGATTTCGCCCATGTAGTCGCCACCAAAGCACTGCGCCTTCATCTCCTCATCTTCGTGCATTTTGCACTCGGTGACCTCGCCGTCGTCAAACTTGTACCACTGGCACTTGCCGTTCGCAGGGTTTCTGCGGGGGATTGTATCGGATTAGTATCCGGGGAAAAGCTACAATTTTATGGAACTCACTTGGAGAGTATGTAGCTGAAGTAGTGGCCCCCGGATGCCTGCCCGCTGTGCACCACAATGCCGGTCAGTTCGTACTTTGTCGTCTCAACGTTTGTTTGACAATTATCACCCACCTCCACCACCTCGCCCTCTAGCTTAGCTAGGCCAGACACTGGAGAAGAGAAAATTTAAATAAATTCATCTGTAGAACGACCCCACTTGCAACCTTTGCTGAACTCACCTGTGTAGGGCTCCATATCCAGGATACGCGGAAATTCAAAATAATCATTAAATTTAATCGCACAGACGCGCTCGTAGTCGTATTCGAAGCGCTTCAGTTGTATGGCTAACACGGGTGGCAGCTTCTTCACGCATAGCCGCTTAACGGTAACTACCTGTTGGCCACAAGGAATTCGGATCATTAGAATCTGGCTATACCTTTACATCACGGGGAGGAGAACACTTTACTTTTTTATCACATTTATCACAATGGTATGCATCGGCTCCCTCGAGCAGCTCCCCCTTGACATACTGCTCCAGAGATTCGGTTAATGAGCTATGATTCCTAATATCGACACTAAATACACTAAATGGTTCCTCTTTGGAGTAGCGATGGGGGCACTCTTGGCAGATCTTCTGGTCGCTGAACGAGCCGCCCAGCGTGGCATTCATAAGCTGCGGCTGGCCAAGCGCCTTCAGTCCCTCGTCGAGGCTTTCGAAAAGGGACATGAAAAACTCCACGGCATCCTGTTGCTCGCGAAGATTCACAGGCTCTCCTTGCAGCCTATTAAAGTATAAAATTAAATCAATTGGGAAAAGGCCATCAATTGCAATGTGAAAAACTCACTTGAAATGCGTCCAGAGACCACGGGGCACGTAGAACTGCAGAGCACTGTGGCCCAGGTGGGCGAATATGGCCTGCACGTGCTTCAGGATCACCACGTGATAGTTTTTTCGCACATCCTGCGATCCATCCTCGACAGCGCCCGACGACGAGGAGAAGGTGACTAGGGCAGAGGCGGGTCCCGAGAAGAGGGCCGGTCCAAGACCACCGCCCGTCAAATCGGAGTCGCCACTGAAATCCTCGCCGTCGGTGGTGGCCGCGCCATGGGCTCGCAGGATACCCACCCGCACCGCCGGCACCATGTAAAGCTGCTGCAGCACCGAGTTCATGTAGCAAGTGGCACCGGCGTTCTTCAGTCCGCAGAAACCTTTGGTTGGCCTAGCGCCTACAGGCGGCAGGTAATCCCATTCGCGCAACGGATCAGTATCTGGAAATGGAGAGGAAACGCTTAAATAGGCCTCAGGATATTGCGAAGTGGAAGCTTACCCGTGCAGACGAAGTCGATGAGTGTATTGGTGAGTAGCTTCATATTAGGAACACAGAGCTGGCACAAGGCAATAAGGAGATCGCAGGCAGCGGCGATGGTGTGCGGACTGCGGCAGACCGGTGGCGGGACGGTGTCCTGCCGGAGACTGCCGTGCCGCCGTAAATGCAGGAATTCGCGAGAGGCCGTGAAGAGAAAGTCGTCGATCAGCTCGTGGATGAGCTCGTTGAGCTGCGCCTTTGAGTCGGCCGCTAGGAAAAACATCAGCTCCTTGGCCAGGCAGAGGTGGCCCTCGAGGAGCTCCTCGTGCACTTGTGTGTCCCCGGTGGCGCGGACGTTCTCCCGTATGCGTTGCAGCCACTTGATCTCGTCGCCCAACAATCCCTCGCTGATCTGCAGCGGCCAGTTGTAGATGCATCCATAGGATAGGGTCCGGCACAGCACCGAGAAGAACTCGGCGCACGTTGCCTCGTACTGGGGAACCAGCGTCTTCAGCGCGCCCACTAGCAAGTTGACCATGTAGACAAACGGCCGGCGATCGCCGGCGCAGTAGGTAGAGGCCAGAAACAGCTGCTCCGAGGCAACCTGTCGCACATGACGAAGCGGGTTCTTGAGTACAATGGAGGTGATAAACTTTGGCCAGTTGGCATCGCTGGTCAATGCTTCGTTGGCACTCGGATTAAGGATAAACGAGATGGTGAGCACCTCCAGCGCCTCTTTGCACATGCTGAAATCTTGACCGTCCGGCACGATCACCTCGTCCTCAAAGTCGCCGCTACTGCTGCCTAGAGCTTGAAGGTTGCCGCAGGACGAGGCCCAGGCCAACTGCACCACCGCCTTGATGGTGGAAATGTCCGGGCAGGACCACTGCAGTGTGGAACTAAAGAGCGTCCGGCAACGGTCTCCCTCCTGGCTGGCTGAGAGCATTTCGCGGGCAAGCATCACAGCCAGCTTCGCGGAGATCGCCCGCAGTGTGCCTTGCGAGCTGTTAGGCATCGTAGAAAAGTTCTGCTTCAGAATGTCCACCTGTGAACGGGATCCGTTGTCCAGGTCGCAGATCATGGGCTCATCGCCTACGCGGGACAATACGCTTCCCACGATGTACAGGAACAGCTTAGCCAGCCTCAGCACGCACTGAAAGGAAGCGCGCTTCGTGTGCATGTCGGCGCTGGGAAGGAAGTTGTTTTTGGTCAACAGCTCCAGCACGAAATGGGCGCAGCCCGAGTGCATCCAGGCAGACTGCACCAGCAGGGCTCCTTCGCCTAGAGGATCCAACGCGGGAATCAGCAGTCCGTGCAGCACACTAAGATTGTAAAGCACTTGGGCAGGCGTCGGGTGCAGGAACATCTGCTCGGGCGTGCAGTTCTCCTGGTAGAAAGAGATTAAAAATGTGTGAATTAAGAGGGTCCATATAAAGATTATTTGTTGTTGGTCTTACCTCTTCAACTTCACTCGCCGGTTGATCAGTGGTGTTGAGTTTCTCCTCTTCATCCTTAGCGCTCTTCTCGGCCGTCACAGCCACCGTAACGGCCGCCTTGGGCACCTTGCACATCACCTGCAGCTGACGCATCGTCTGGCGGTCGCAGGGCAGCAAATGCAGCAGTACCTTTGCACTGTCCCGCAGTCGACCGTGCTCCAAGTCACTGCCCAGCTGGTAGAGCTTCAGAAAGAACTCGGTGTACTGGTAGTTTTGTGAGATAATCACGCCGGGCAGTGTGCTCTCCGACTCCACGCGCTGCATGTCGGGGCAGGGACGCGGTGGAGAGCCAGTGCTGGAGTCGCTGGAGGAATCGGGACTGCTGGCCAGACCAGTGCCCACTGGCGTGAGCTTTGCTGTGAGGACCATCTTGTCGCGGATGGTGTACTGATAGAGCGGGTTAATCTCGTCGGATACCTCGATCATCTCGCCATTAGTGTAGAAGAGATCAACCTTTATGTTGGTCGTAGAAGTACCCTTGATTCGCTTCAGTAGACTTCGCTTGAAAGCGGCCATCGTCTCGTTGCTGTGTGTAACGATCTCCAGGTCATCAATGGGTCTCCCTGGGTTCTGGAACCGTATATACAGACTGGTGTTCTTCCCACGTGTAACCCGACTGAGTGGCAAATGGACACGATCGCCGCTGAAGGAGCGGTCGCACTCCTTCACGTATTCCTGCAGCACCTTTAGAATTCGGCACATTTTCTCCGCCTCGATGAAACGCATTTTTGAGTCCTTGGACTCGTCGTTGGCATTGTCCGACTGATCAGGCGCATCCAACTCCTCCTGCAGTTGCGTCTTGCCCAGGATAACGATGTTTCCGTAGTGGGTACGCAAGCGGGCGCAGCACTCACCGATGAACATTTCGTGGAACTCGGCGATGTTCTCCTGTAGCCGTGGACCCAATGCCGTGGACACTTCCTTGAGCAGATCAATGGCCTTGCTGGCGATTTCCTCTCCTCCGGTTGTAATCACCCGCCACAAGTAGTCCTTACCTATAAGATCCTCGTTGTCCAGAATGTAACCTCTGTGTATCGCCTTCAGCTTGTCCTCCTTAGAGTTGACCGCCTTGAAAAAGCGCTCGAAACACTTGATGCCGCTCTCGGTGAGCAGATGCGGATCGAGTTGCAGAATGTTGTTCTCGAAGAAGTCCTTGTTTATGCCGGGGTCCAAGTCGGGCTCCTCGCCCATCAGCTTGCCGAACCACCGGAAGCACTCTTCTCGATCCGCCGGAAAGACGGCGCTCACCGCCAAGCAGTGCCAGATTTGCTTTGCCTGATCTGCGCACAGCCACAACTGTCCGTCTTTCAGCAGGAACTTGAGGAACTCCAGCCGTTCCGCTATTTGCGCATGGTGCGGAAACCTTCCGTCAATTACGATGTTAGCTGCTTCCAGGCCAGGTGTGTCTGCCACCATTTGGCGCACCCTTTCCATGTACGCAGTCAAGCTGTTGGTGACAAGAATGACCAAGGAATAGTCGTTCTGCAGTCGCTCGATCACCTGCTGCCGATTCGTGCCCGTTTGGGTGCGGGGGGCATGATTCGGCGTTGTGTCATATAGACAACAAATATCCCGGATTAGGCGCAAGGCGGGCAGCACCCATCCATCGCCCGACTTTAGCTCGCCGACGCATTTGTCCAACCAAATGGTCTTCTGTGCGTCCCGCTCCTGCGAACAGCTGTAGTCTAAGATTTTCACGTGAGCGCCAAGTGCCTGGTCGAGCACCTCTGGCGGCACCTCCTGACTGTGAGCTAGTGTCCAGAAAAGCTTCAGCACCTTTTGGGCCATTACACCATTTTTGTCGTCCTCAGCCAAGCGGCGGATAAGCTCTAAAAGCCTTTCCCGCTGCCTCTTATTGGCCGTGGTCATGCTGGCCTGAAATTAAATTAGAAATATTTTCATTAATAAATATATTTTATATATTTTAATTTGAGAAAACTTACTTGGAACGCCTCGAAGAGGTGGTCCAGCTGCTCGGGAGTAAAATCCCAGGCCAGTTTGGCCAGGAGATCGTGCACGTTTTTCACGATTGCCTCGTGCTTGCCGGCCTGCGCTCTCCAAACCGCATCTAAATCGTCCAGCGTCAGTGCTTGCTCCTTAATGAGAAAGCGGATGATCTTTTCGAGCTTTTCCACATACTGCGGTTGGTGCAACGAGTCCTTGAGCACGATACCCAAGACGTCCGACGCCTTAATCCATTGCGCCATGCGCTCCGCCGTCAGCCAGTCCATCTCGTCCTCGGGCATACAGTGGGGCAGGGGTTGGGATCTATGCGAGTAATAGGCCACCGAAGAGAGCACCTTGTTGATCTCGTTAAGGGCATTCATCTTGCCATTGAAGCTAGACACCTGCAGCAGGCGCAGGATCATCTTCAGGCGAAACATCTCCAAGTCGCGAATAAGCTCCTCCTGACCCGACAATCGACTGGCCAGGAAGCGGGCCGACTTCACAATCCCGTTGATGTAGTCGTTGCGTCCCTCGGGCTTCACCTCGCGTTTTAGCTCCTCGTCTGTGAAGCTGTCCAAAGGTCCAACACCACGTTCCAGGTGGGCATAAAGTACTTGGCGATGGTAGCGGGCGTCAGCAGCTCATAGCATTGACCAAACGGCCGCAAAAGGCTGTGGATGAGAGCCAGGGTGAGGCGATTATCCTGGCCGTTACCCTCGCCGCCACCCTCGCCACAAGCACTCTTGCCGGTGCCCTTGTTTTGGTTGCGCTTCAGCAGTTCCAGTCCGCTGTTGAACCGCTCCAGCAGATTGTCAAAGCCTCCCAGCTGGCCGAAGCGGTTGATGAGATCCACAAGCCAGCCGCGCGCATTCTTGGGCTCCGGGGGCGGCCGGGCGTACATCTTGTTGCTGTCCAACTGACCCCAGATGCAGTCGGCGCTGGCGAAGCACTCCGGCTGGCGGGCCGCGTTGAACGTGTTGAACTTGTTTTCCGGATCGAAAACGATGGCCAGCAAGTCCAGAAGGTAGGGATTGTCGCGCTGCATGTGGATGGCGATGAGGTGCAGAAGCTTGCCGCACGACACCAGAATGCAGTGGTGGATGTTGTACTTCCATGAGTTCACCGCCTCGTCGGTGAGGATCTTGGCGAACGAAGTGCTCAGTCCATTGCGGTAAAACTCCACGCACGGCTCGCAGTCGTGATCCACACCTGCAAGTGGATCGAATATAGATGGGACTTTCGTGAGCCATATGGACACACTTACCAGCCTGCGTTAGCTCGATGGCAGCATTTAGAAGCACCTCCAGTTCCTGTTCAGGCAGCACGGGCACCACCCAGCGTGGATTGGATATCTTCTGGGTCAGTAATCTCAGTTTCGTGGTGGGAAACGAGGATATAAGCTTCTCTGGAGGCCTGCCGGAGAAAAAAGAATACAATTAATAAAATTTTAAATTTTCAAATAAAGGGCCCTTTGAAACGCCCATCAAAGCTAAATGCAAAGACTCGTAATTACAAATTTTTTAGAGGTGTAAATCAATTAAATTACTTTAAAAGCCCACATATTACAGAGCATTAGCGTTTCTACTTAACAAATCCTATTAATCATTATACGAACATAATATCTGAGTTGTGCATTTGGCTCTTGTAACAAGTTCAAAGGTCAGAAACCTAGGAATTGTCGTCTTTCAGCAGAAAAATAACCACTACATTTGGCAAAGTAGTTTGCGTGAAAGTGAATTTCAGAACAGACCGTATAGATTACAATTTTTGGGGGCTTTTTCAGTGTCACCTAATCATGATGGACAAGCGATAAGATAACACCCTGCATGGGTATTCCAAATGAGACAATAATAGCCGCGTAAAGTAAATACATTAATACGAATGGGGTACATTTATTGGGACAACTGGAAAGGTACCCACTGCATCTATTGGGGAAAGACAAACATTTATAGCCCCATTGTTGGGCACTATCACGTTTCTGCACACACGTAAACGGCCGACTTCGGCTTGTAATAGAACTGGGGAATGTGGGTTCTGTTGAACTCTGGTGACGCCACCACTCGAATTAGCCTGGCCAAAATCAGCTGGAGCATATTTTAATGAATCTATTGCGCGTGTTGTGCAGGCCGAGCCCTGGGCAAACAAAGAATGCAGGTGGAGTAGGAAACTGCGCAAATGTAAACACACGAATGTCCGAGGTTGGGGTTCTTTCTAGAGTGGTGGTGCTACTGGCAAATTAAGTGCAATAAACTACGCACTAAACCCGGCTAATTGGGCGGAGTCATGCGAAACCGGAGCCACGCCCACTTACACTATTGTGACGGTGCTTTCCACGCTGCCCGTCGACGAGGAGGCGGCTACGTCATCCGAACTCTGACTGCTGACCGCCGGCTGTTGCTCCTGGCTGCTGTCCAGGCCACTTGATCCTCCACCTCCTCCTCCTCCTGGCAAACTCGAGGTGGTTACTGTTCCCGTGCCCGTTCCAGATCCTGTGCCCGTTCCCGTTCCCGCACTCTGTGCCGGACTCGTTGTGGTGGTTGCTGTGGTGCTGCCACTGCTGGTGGCTGTGGTGCCCGGCTGTCCGGTGGTGTGCCTGCGCGTGTCGAACGTCATGGTGGTGATGGCGGGGGATGGGGATCCTCTCCAGCCAATTCGTCCTGCGGAGCACCGGAAGCGGTCGAAGGTGCAGGAGCTCTAGCTTTAGTTATAGTTCTCTAGGTGCCTGGCTAATCCTACTGCAGTCTGCACTGGGCGGCGTTTTTGGCTGGTGTCTTATGGCAGTTGTGAGGTATCCGGATACGGAGTGCTCCTTGTCCAGCTCGGGAGTTCCCCTGCTGATTCGCTGTTTCTCGAGGCACACTTGGTCGACGACTCCTGGGCGCTGGGCTCCCTCTTATTGTCCTTTTTCCCAATGAGAAGTGGCTCCTGCGTTGCGTTTACATATTCCTGGTCAGCGGCCACAGTTTGCAAAAATCTATAAACTGCAACGAAGCGAGAGGCAAAGAGAGGCGGATAAATAGAGGCGCTAAAAGAGAGACCGAAAAGGCACACACACGCACGCCAGCGTGTCACTGTGTGAGTGGGCCTGCGTGTGTGTAAGAGAGCGCTGGGTTGGAATATGAAAAATCAATATTATTTAATAGACGGGGCAGCAAGCGCCAAATAATGCTCCAAAAGCACACAAATTACGCTCTCACCCACACACACGCCCGCTCTCCCACACCACCACGCTCTCCTCCGACCATCGAGTGTGTGTGTGAACTTAATTTAATGTTGTTTTTGTTTTACGCCGCGCTCTTCATTCTTATTTATTTATTGTTATTTTCTTAGGCAAACAAAGAACATTTTTGTGCCGAAAATTACATCACGTCCAAGTCTACGGATTTTCCACTCGCCCTCCCTCTCTCTCTCCGCCCGGCAACATCCTTAAGCGGAATGTCGGTCGGTGGGTGGAGCAACTGGGCGGAAAAGGGGTGGTGGTGGGTGGTCGGGTGCAGGGGCTGCAGAGGGTGGCGAAAATAACTACGCATAAAGACTTTAAGCTGCAGCCCCAAAAAGATGCAGAATCGAACGATTTAAAGGGTGTGGCGCGGGGAGGAGGGCGGGAAATCTCTCACTTTCTTTCTATCTCCTCCAGAGTTGTGGGAGAGTAACGGAAGTCACCCAAGGACGGCAGCCAGTGCGGCTTTTTATTATTTTTCACTGTTTTTCACTGGCCCCTCACACACACACGCGCACGCACGCACACTCTTTCACACGCACGTACATTTATTTTTCGCAAGTCGAATCGAACGACCGAACAACTTCCACTTTTCGCAGCCCAAAAGGGCGATCGCATTTCCTTCCGTTCTCCTTTTTTCTGGAAAATTGGGGAGCCCCAGTTGGCTGCGCACTCCAAACTAGTCGCGGTAACTATTTCGCGAATATTGAGCTTACAAATCAGCCGGCCAATAGACAAAATGGCGTCTGCCTTTGCTGTTGTTCTGCGGCCGAGTCCAATTGGGATTTTACCTGCCTGGCCGACGGCGAAGTGCTGCGTATCCTGCGGGGGCGGCGGGTGAGGCTGCCACGGCGTGTTTCCTGTCCGCTCGCTGTGCAATTCGCGTTAAATTAATTATATTTTAGTTATTTCTTTTGCTAGGGTTGTGCAGTTCGGGCGAACTAGTTTTGAACTGAACCGGTTCGCGCGGTTCATCTGGTGCTTTCGGCCAGGGTTGCCAGCCTGTTCGTAAACGGCGCCTATCGTACTGGATTCATTAAGGGGTGTCGGGCGAAGGTCTATATTTGTTTACATTGCTTAAGCTTGGAAGAAAGACATGCAAGTGTAACTATTTTATAATTATTCCACCCTTCATCAAATTTTAATTCAAATAAAAGAATTTCGTGAGAGAATACAATTTTTAAGAGGAAGCCATTTCCCCATCTGGCAACACTGAAATTATGATTACAACAGTGTTACCTGATGGTCCGTCTACTACTAACTATACTACTACTAATGGAATGAAAATGTACGACGCGTTGGAACGGTGCCCAGGTGCCTATTGTGGGAGATCGCCTCTGGGAAATGACACCTGGAGCAGCTGCGGGGTCTGTCCCCGAGGATCCCGGGTGAGTGTCCTGCCTGCCACCCCGTCATATGAGACCTGGCTCCAATAAATCCTCCTTCATCCGCCCACAGGTGAACGATGCATACGCCTGCTCTCCGTGCCGCGATGATTGACCACGTACTCCTGGCTCTACCTGGGATTCATGACACTGCTGCCGCTCATGATGCACTGCTTCTTTATCGACATGGACGCCAAGGATCGGAAGTTTTCACGCAAGCAGCTCATCCTGACGGCCAGCGCCTTCGTGGAGGTGGCCCTGTCCGCCGTGCTGGCCACCTTGTTCATGGAGCCCATGTGGGAGCTGCGCCTCTACGCCTGCGATGTCCGGAAACTCACCGACTGGTACACCTTGTTCTACAATCCCAGTCCCAACTACGAGTCACGGGTCTACTGCACCCAGGAGGCAGTCTACCCACTCCAAACCATTGTGTTGGTCTTCTACTTCCTGTGCCTGGTGAACATGTTTCTCATCCGCCCGCTGGTCAGCAAAGTGATGGATGTGGGGGGCAGGAGCAAGGCGCCCATTTACTCGGCCCTCTACTTTCTGCCCCTGCTCACCTTTATCCATGCGTTGGGATGTGGGTTGATCTGTGAGTAGTGCATAGGTTACCTGCTACATGTCAGATTTTAACACACTGCTTTCCTTTCAGACTACTCCTTTCCCTACCTGAGCGTGGCCATCTCCATGGTGGCGAATGCCATCCACTATTCCCTCAAGCTGGACCAAACATGAAGGCTCTGGTTCACTCCTCGGTGTGGGAGTTGAAGAACGTGGTCATAATAGGTGGGTAAATGATTTTTTATAAGAGAAATTTTACCAGCTTACTTGTACAGCTGTCCACTGGATGCTGCTGGCCTATGGGATAACCTCCCTGAATTACCATTACGCCTTCATGTGCTTGGTGCCCTTCCCCACACTCTTCTACATCCTGACCGTGCGCTTCACGGATCCGGGCGAGTTCCGGGAGCTGGAGTCGAGAATTTGATGCGGCGACGTCCAGATGCAAATCTTCCACGCCCGGGGCACCCGGCGATCGACTGTTGTTATCTATGTGTAGTGTACGCGTCGCTTAATTTATTTACACTTAGTGCGTAGCTAGATTCAGACCCGTTCCGATTTTCACATACTTTAGGCGATTTCGAATATAATCTTATCTTTCAATGCCAACTGTTCTGTAAACCAGTCCAAGTGAAGGTCATTTCGCTTACTTACCAAGCCATGTCAGATAATAAAATCGCAATCAAACGAATTCTGTGAAGATGAAAGTCGGAGCAGGTCCTCTAGTGTACTCGTCGTTTAGCCTTAATCCATTCATCGTTCTTTTCGTTTTAATTATATTTCACATTAATTATACACATATAGTAATATTAAATACAAATCATCAGTTTCCCATCTCTAAAATAGTTTTTACACAATATATATTGCTACATATTGAATTTGGATGCCGCACTTGGTTCACATTCAGATCCTTCGTTCCGCACGCCGCCCCTGGGCGGTCGTACTTCAGTGTGTGAATTCGGGGGCACCGTAGTCATCTTTGTCGTCATCGTCGTAATATTCCCATATCGCAAGCCGTAGAAATTAAGAAGTCAAGGACAGGGTGCAGCGGATGAGGAGCGGAGTATAAACAAAATCAATACCAGCAAAGAGAATAGAAAATGTGATTAACGCAAGCACGTTCTGTTTATGTTTTTTGTTGGATGAGGATTTTCGCTGCCGTTTTTGGGAGTGGAGACTTCAGTATTCAGGGCGTCTATTCCGCTGTCGTGCGTTCGTTTGTGAACTTGTTGCGCTCCTCAAGGAACTTCAAGCGTCGCTTCCTAAGCTCGCCCAGCTCCGAGGAGTTCTCCTCGAAGTCGGCATCGGAGTTGGGCAGACTGACCGCCTCCGTGGCCGTCGATGGCACATCATCCTCGTCTGCATCCGCGCCCAGATCCTCAATGGTTACCTTTTCGGCGGGCAGGGGAGGAGCCACTGCGGCCGTTGTCGTCGGAGTAACCTGATGAGCCTCCAGCTGGGCCATGGCTGTGGCCGAGGTACTGGGCTTGTCGTACACGCCAGATTCGCTAACAGCGCTTTCTGCGTTTGCCGGGGCGGAAGCAGACCCTGCTGCCGCGGATGCCGGCGGCACTGCAGTGAGCTGCAAGCGGGAGGCCAAACTCTGGTACTGGGACATCATAATCCCCGCCGAATCCAGCATAAGGTTAATGTTTTGCAGCAACTGAAAGGGATGTTTAGATAAGTTACTATTCATTAGAAAGTGCGATATTTTACCTTCAGGCGCTGCTCAATCTGCTCGCGCTGGTGTCCCTCCATGGCGCGCAGCTCCTCGACGGTAAACTTGGTCAGGTCCAGTGGAATTGGAGGCGGCGGCAGGGGCGAAAAGTAGCCAAACTGTGGCGGCATCATAAAAGGCGAGAGCATGGGCATGGCCGGCGGAGGAGGCATCGAGAGACCAGCCAGATTGGGCAATCCATTGGGCAAGCCGGCTGCAGAGGAATGGATCAGGTAGGATCCTTATTTACCGAACTCTAAATTCAAAACTCACTGGCATCACCGAATAGATCCGCGAAGCTGGGCGGTAAGGCTTGACCTCCGGGAGAGGGCCATTGACGCGTGCTTGGTTTCCGTCGGCTCCGGCAGCTGGAGCCGGAGCAGGTACACCTCCAGCCGGTTGAGCACCTGCGGCAGCAGGACCGGCATTCGCAGCCTCATCACCGGCACGTGGCATCGCTGTGGAGTTAACGGCCGGAGTGCGCAGGATGTTCAGCCGGCAGGTGGGACAGGTCTGCTGGCGTTGGAACCACGAGCGAAGGCAAGTGGTGTGGAAGATGTGGCCGCAGGGCAGCTTTTTCGAATGATTGACCATGTCCTCGCGGCAGATGATGCATATGTTGTCCGACTGGCGCAGTTCCTCGGGCGTGGCGTCCGGATACAGGGTGTTCATGTTGCGAATGGCACGGCGGGACATGATCACGTCGTTCAGGGCCTTGCGGAAGTTGCGTATGGTGAAGAACATGGGGCGGAACACGAACATGGGCAGTGCGTAGATCTTGGCCATGATCACCACAAACAGTATGTACAGCACCACTTTGATGAGTCCGATGACTAGCTCTGTGTAGAGCAGGAACACAGCCTTATTCTCCCAGGGCGTGTCCGTGCGCATCTCGGCGGCGTGGAGCACGTACTTGATGGCCGTGCTGGCAATGACGGTCAGAAGGATGGCGTACTCGAAGCCAAAGACCAGCTGCACGGTGGGTCCGCGCACCAAGGTGGAGTTATAGGCATGGATCAGCAGAACGTAATCCAGGATGCCGAGCATGGTGAGCAGACTGCCCACTCGAATATGGAACAGCCAGCCGAGCACGGGCGAACGCTCCATCTGGGGAGGGGAAGATTTTGTTAAAAAAGCCATAACCAATTTACAGGACACACAGCTTACAAAGTCCACCCGCTCCTCGGCCAGCCAATGGAATGATTTGAGGAATAGCAGCACTGTGAACAGGGCCACAAAGCGCGGATTGAAGTCATCGCGGAATACGGTGAAGGCCAAGCAGGTCTCCGTGAGGGCGTACCAGAAGCGCTCCAGCAGGTGCTCGAACTCGGCAGCGCGGAGCGTTCCCAGGAAGATCTGGGGAATGAACCAGGTTAATGTGGGTTTACAGGGGACTCTTGGGGTTCATTCACCTTGCGGAGCAGCTTGCCAAACATGAAGACAATCACAAAGAACTGTATGTAGATCACCTGGAAGCAAAGGAAGATTCAGGTTCAGATTGGGTGTGGCAGAGGATTCACGGTTGGACTACCCACCGCCATGGAGGCGTTCGACTTGGTGATGTACACCACCGCCGGATAGAACTGCTGCTTTTGGTAGTAGGCATTCCCGATCACCGCGCTGGTCAGCGCCATGCAAACGGAGGATAGGAGCAGCTGCATGATGCCGCTCGAAGTCGCCAGGGCCGCCAGCTGGCTGATGGACTCCAGGAATATGTTAATTTTGGCCGCGATCTCTGCCTGCCCCCACTCTACATATAAGGCCGCAGCTCTCGGAATCGGAATCTGTATCGCTCGGGACGGGACTCTGCGTCCGAAACAGAAAATGTCGACTTTGCTCTCGTTGACGCTGGAATTTTGCCGGGTTTTGTTAGCCGAACGAAGTTGTTTGCATTGCCATCGAGATTTCCGACTCTGAAATTTGAGGGGTGGCTCTATTAGGGCGTTTTAATATTTTTTATTTTTAACTACAATTACACGTAGTACGAACTTCTAGCGATGAGCGCGTGCGTCTCTTCTTTCGGCACGAGCACGTCGATATATTTTGAAAGCACGATCACGCACGCACGACAACCGTTTTTGAAAACACGGCACGAGGACGAGAATTTCAAGGAATAAACTATGTTTTCGTAAGCTGTAACACATTCATTGCGTTCAATTGAAATACCAGAACACTAAAATCTATGCATTTTAATCTTAGTCTGTTTTTAATTTGGAAATAGTCTAGATCATAGGTCTTCAGTTTTAATTGTCACCCACTTAGTTGTGAATTCTGTTGTTTCAAGTTTGATAACTTTGATAAGCAATCAAGCCGGGCAAGTTTAACAGAAGCACGATGAAAAGTATGTAGAATTTTAGTAGCACGCCAAAAATCACGGCACGCGCGCAACTCTAGTAACAGTGCTACCATACATTTTCTAGTGTGAACCACCTAATCGGGCAACACTGGAAAGAAACGATAACGCCATACTATCGATGCCGTTTTTTGAAATTGTTTATTATTGTTTTGATGGTCATACTTCAGCCGTTCTGATTATAAGCCGGTCGAACAAGAAGAAGAACGAATCTAATTGTATGATAAATGGACGTTAAATTTTAATTATAAACCAGTTAGTCTGAAACTCGATTCCCGATGAGGTGGTTCTGGGTTCTGCTGTTGAGCTATCTGCAGCTCCTGGTGTCCGCCACCGAAGATGGGTTTTTGCCGAGCCCCAATCTGGATGAATTCAAGGAATACCCTTTGTTTGAGTATGACGACGTTGAAAGACCCAAACCCACCCAAGGGTTATTGTATCCTATTGAATCGGAGACACGCGAGTTGCGCAGTTTGGACGGAATGTGGCGCCTGGTGAGGAGCGACCCGGCTGACCCCCTCCAGGGAATCAGGGAGAACTGGTTTGCGGATGCGCTGAGAAAGACCGGAAGGGAGATTATTCCCATGCCGGTTCCCGCCTCATATAATGACATCACCACGGACAACCTGCGGGACCACGTTGGCACCGTCTGGTACGAACGGACCTTCTTCGTGCCCCGCTCCTGGGAGGGGAACCAACGCACCTGGCTGCGCTTCAGTAGCGTCCACTACTCGGCTGTGGTTTGGATCAACGGCAGGAACGCCACCAGCCACTCCCTCGGTCACCTTCCCTTCGAGGCGGAGATCTCGGCCTTGATCAGTTTTGGCGGGGAGAACAGGATCACCGTGATGTGCGACAATCGCTTGAGCAATCACAGCGTTCCCCAGGGATCGGTACACGAGGCGGCCACGGATGACGGCACTGTGCCCGTCCAGAGCTACTCCTTCGACTTCTTTAACTACGCGGGAATCCACAGGAGTGTTCACATGTACACAACGCCTCTGCTCCACATCAGCGACGTGGAGGTGACCACGCAACTAAATGCTGAGGGAATGGGGCGCATTGACTACCGCCTGTGGCTGGATGGCAGCCAGGATGGTCTCCGCATCCAGCCCAGCCATATTCTGGTGCAACTGAGGGACCGCGATGGCCAGGTGGCCGCCCATCAGATCAACAAGGCGATCTATCATGGCACGCTGCTGGTGCCCAAGGCCAGTCCCTGGTGGCCCTACCTGATGCACCCTGATCCCGGTTACCTCTACGACCTCCAGTTCGAGCTCTTCGTGGCCGACCAGGAGGAGGGGGCGTCGGATGCTCTGCTGGACGTTTACCGCCTACAAGTGGGCATTCGCAGTTTAAGTTGGAGCAACGACAGCCTGCTGCTCAATGGGAAACCCCTCTACTTGCGGGGATTCGGACGCCACGAGGACTCCGATGTGGGTTTGCTTACTAAGTAAAGCCAGTTATTGACTTATATTCTTGTTTTAGATACGAGGCAAGGGATTGGACAACGCTCTACTCGCCCGCGACTTCAACATGCTCAAGTGGATTGGAGCCAACGCCTACCGCACCTCGCACTATCCCTACTCCGAGGAGTCCATGCAGTTCGCCGACCAGCATGGGATCATGATCATTGACGAGTGTTCTGCTGTGAACATCGACATCTTTGAGCCGCAGCTGCTGGAACAGCACATGTCCTCGCTGGAGCAACTGATCCACAGGGACAGGAACCACCCCAGCGTGGTGGCCTGGTCGGTGGCCAATGAGCCGAGA